TCATAATGCGTCCTTAGATAATATAATAGCAGATAGGCCACCACTGCATTAAGTTATACAATATTAATCTCGCTATCATATAATCAGTATCTCTCTTTCTAATGAAGGCGTTCTCACTTGTTTTAGAATTCTCAACAGTAGCGTAACGTAAAACAATTTCGCTGGGTCATTTTAAATGCGAAAATGTTTACCAAATAGAATATAAAATAAAATGTTTTAAAAGGTAGGTAGGTGCATTTTTAATGAAGTGAAAACAAAATATGACTTTTTTGTTATGAATATAATATTAATAACAATTACTATTAACACCACAACACGAACAAATTTAAATTAAACACTGGAATAATTGTCTGAGAAAAGCTTTGTAAAACTGACAAATACAAACAAAGAGATAGAGATATTAATCTATTTCTCTCTAAATAGAATTCTCGACCATATTATCATGGCGACACAAACATTGTTTACTGTCCTCTCTTTACTATTTACTTACTCTGAGAATGCGTCGTGTACCTAACACCGAAGGGGTTACCCCCTCAGTACATAACAAACCCATTTGAGTAACACCTCTACTATTATATGCTCTAAGATTCTGCTTCATTTACATTTTCCGTCATTTGTTGCACGATGTCATTTATTGTCAAAGGTGATTGGTCTCCAACAAATCCAATCGGTTTTAAATAATTATTTTTTAAAAGCCAACCGCAGTTTTCAGTGTGCAATTTTATACAGTCTGAATCGGTTGCATGAAACCACAAAGAATTGACACATATAGTTCTCAAAATTTTTTTGCATTAAAGAAAGACCAGCATGGTGGCATAATGTTGGAGTCAAAACTTTTTACTTTTTTTAAAAATTTTTCATTGTCTTCTTTTGCGGAGTAACTGTTTTGGAAAATGCGATACCTGGCATCGTTCACATTAGTGCAGTGCTTGATACCATACATATTAGCAGTAAACTCCTGAACAGCCTTAATTTATTCATTCATGAAAATATCAGCTTCGTCAAGTAATGACGCAAACATATTTTGGCACGTCTCATTTTTTGAAAATTGTTTGTACGGTCTAACTTTACCTTTTTGGCAAAAAGCTGCTGTGTAATCACAACCAGTATACACATGAAAAGTTGATAGGCTTCGACATAGTGTAGTTCCTAATTTTTTTAACTAAATCAGTGCAATTAATGCAATTGATGCCTTTTTTTTTATTTGCTGGACTTGCTATCCAAACTTCCGAAGGATCAATTTTGTGTATGTTTCCAAGTAAAATCATCATGACATCGGTATCGAAAGATTTTATTAGAATCTTCGATCCCGGTGTTACTCTAGATGCGTGAAAAATGATCCTGGTATCCGCCTCTTCATAATCACAAATGTATTAACTTTCTTCATTTTTGATCATTCGATTTTCCTGCGCTTGATAGGAGTAACAACAGTTTTGAACAGTTAAAAATATTTTTTTCTTTTTAATAATTGTTACTAAATTGTTATTTTCCCAAAAAAATAGATAAAAACTGAACCAATGCCTCTTTGAACCTATAATTTTTCAAACTATGTAAAAAGTCTGGCGGCCTACTTTGTTGAGGCCCTGAAATATTAAATGGAATATCAAACTCTTGACGAGTTTAGCGTTCTGTATTTTTTATTGACGGCGTCATATAACGATCAAAAACTAAACGCACCTCTGCGGCGTTCGTTGAGGAGTATAGAGTCGTCGATTTTTTCAAAAGTTTGTAGAATTGAGGCTCCGATCAAGTACAAATAGTAAAAACCATCTATTATTTCCACATCAATCTGCGTTGGTTCATAAATTTCGACGTTTGATTTCAATGACGACTTATCGGTTTTGAAGATTCCACAATCACATGAGAAAAGAGCTGGTGACATCGATGCGAGTGGAAAAGTTAACAACAATTAAGCACTGTCTCTGTCAATCGCAACCTTTGACAATAAATGTCATCCTGCAAATGACGAAAAATGTAAATGAAGAAGAATCATCAGAGTCTGAAGATTTTAATGTAGCTTCAGATGATTCAGATTTTGAATAATAATTACGAATTTTATATTATTTTTCTATGTATTCCATTTGCTTTATAATAAACGCTTTTGATACCATAAATGTATTGAATATTATTATTCTACATTAATTTTTTTACTTTATTATAATAACATTTTTTTTGTTTATTTTTTTTTATGATTATTATATACCTGTAAGTATAGGTATTTTATAGTAATATAATAATTATAATCGAAATAAAGTTTATTGTCAGCCGCTCCAAAATAGGCACTGTCTCTGTCAATCGCATGTAAAATAGCATGCGCATTTGGTGCGTTCAACGGACATATCGCGCCTAATTGCTATGTTGTGCCCTGTTCTATCACACAGACTTTAATATTATTATTATTACAAATAAATTAGGGCTGAGGAATGAATCCTATTAAGCCCAAAATTACAAGTTTAATAACAAAGACAATTATTAAATAAGTAATTAGCAAATAACATATTGCAAACAAAGCACTAAAAATAAACTTTTAGTTTTCTTTAAAAAAGTCATCGAGTCGGTTTTTTAATACATTTACTGACTGTGCGCGAACAACACTCGAGGGTAAATTATTCCGAGTATAGAAAACTCTATTACAAAAAAGTTTTGTCGGGTACGTGTTTTAAAATTTTCTTTGCTCAACTTATACTCATGTCCACGTAGGCGCTCATCTGTATTCCGTGGGAGTATACTATAGCGGTTGGATGAAAAAGTACCATGAAGAATTCTGTGGGTCACAATTAAATCACCTCTTAATCTTCTGTGGGAAAATGAACACAAATTCGCCATGTTTTTCATACGATGGTCTGATTCTGCCGAAAGGTATTCGAGTAGCGTAGCGTTGAACATTTTCCAATCTTTTTTGATCAGAAACCAGATCAGGATACCACGCAGGTCCGACATATTCCATCAACGGTCTAACGTAAGTTGTATAAAGTTTAGAAAATGTTTGAAAGTTCACACGCGTGAAGGACTTTTTTAATAGGTAGAGCATTGAGTTCGAACGTTTACATACCGCTGATATGTGCTCTGACCACGTTAATGAAGAGTTCACAATGAGTCCCAGGTCGTTATAGGAGTTCACAGTTGCTAACGCACTACCGTTTAGATAATAGTTCACGCACGGGTTATTTTTTCCTATATGCAGGACGACACATTTTTCCGCGTTTAAAGGAAGCAGCCAGGTGTCACACCAGTTTGAAATAGTTTCAAGGTTTTTTTGGTAGCTGGGTAGAATCTGTCACAGGATTAGAGTATAGCTTAGTGTCATCAGCATAACACGAAATATTAGAATTTAAGTCTTTGCCTAGATCTGCAGCGTATACCAAGAATAGCAATGGCCCTATGACAGAGCCTTGAGGGACACCACTTAGAACTGGATACTCTGACGAGAACATCTGTCCAACTTTTACCTTGAAGATGCGATTTGACAAAAAATCACTTATCCAGAGAAGTAAAGAGCCGCGAATGCCAGCTTATGCCAGCTTTTTCCAACTTATAAAGCAATCTCTTTTTGGGAACACGATCAAAGGCTTTAGCGAAATCAAGATATACGACATCGACAGGCTCTTTATTGTCCACAGACGTAGTCCAACCGTTTAAACAGGTCATTAGGTTTGTTAATGTGGGTCGGCCTTTAATAAAACCGTGTTGTTCTTTTGGCAAGACGTCATGGCTCTTGAAAAAATCAGACATATAATTGGTTAAGATGGATTCCATTATTTTACAGGCAATTGGGACAAGGCTTATTGGACGATAGTTGGATGGACTGAGTTTGTCACTTTGAGTTTATCCGTTTTTTTAAGAAGCAGTACTGATACTTTGGAAGATAGAGAGCATCTTACGTGTTTAAATAGCTTCTTAGGATTATTGCTACTAGCGATATATTCTTCGTATTCTCTTCTTGCGTTATCAATAACATTGATTAAATCGTTTGCGAAACGTCGATGGTTAACAAAATCATCATATTTTTTGGTTGCTTTAAATTTTTTCCACATACTTTTCTTATGTTTTATTAAAGTTAAAAGTTGTCCATTGATCCAGGGTTTTAATTTGTTCTCAGGACATTTTTTGTTTTTTGTGTTAGCCTTCACAATTTCGGATATCTTTGTATGAAATAGTGTCCACATATCTTCTACTAATACAGTACTTCTAAAAAAGTGATTCCAATCAATTTCGGAGAGGACTATCTTTACGTTATTAAAGTTTGTGACACTATAGGTTACGACCCTATCGGAATTAGGGGTTTCTATGTTAAATTGCATATTAAATATAATAACGCCATGGTCAGATTTCCCAATAGGTGAGTGGACAGATGGAGAAATTAGAAGTTGGTCGTCATTTGTTAATGACTTCGTACGTTTTACTTTCTCTCTCGCACATATTTAATTGCTCCCATTTTAAAACTTTAAAATTTACATTAGATAACCCATATTATAATTTATCATAATTTTCGATTGGGGAAAGATGTTGTTTCACATGGAATAAAACAAGAGTGGATTCGGAGGTGCCGTAGAGAAAATAAATTGTTGTTACGTGAATTCCAAAAATAAAAATTTTTCTTATCGTGCCCTACTTATTTCAAAATAGGTACCTCAAACGGTTTATATTTAAAAAAGCGTTTCTTACATTCACTATTGCTATTCTTATGTTACTCGAAATATAAGCCAGAGAAATTTATAATCCTATTCATTTTTAACTTTGTGCTTTCAATGATCCGGCAACTATGTCATTTTCCCGAATACTTCAGATAATACACGATGTATTGAACAATCCTGTAGAGTCACGAATATTTCGTTCGGCCCATTACTTTTAACGCTTAACCTCACTTATTTAGGAATCTTTGTTGTGTTGGTACATTTGTTAAACTGACATATGTCACAATTTCATGAATTTATTCACAAATGAAAAACAATTTTCATTATAAAGAAATTGATAGTGGGTGCTTAAGATATTATACTCACCATCTTCGAACCAATAAGGAGAAAATTTCCTATCTTCTTTTGGATGTTTGTTATCGCCTTTGTTTTTATTCTTTTCTTTAGATGATTGATCAACTTGAGCGTCTTCATATTCCTTAAAAAGAATAAATCAAAATATTAATTTTTAAAAATACCTTAAGTTTTAAAAATCGCCTGTAAAATGGTTGTACGCCACTGCCGAATTGAGGTAGGTTAGTGAGAAATAATTTATTATTACAATTTTTTACAAGTTAATATAGGTAACTAATATGTTTTTGTTGTCATTTTCATAGAATACAACATTATGGAAAAGTCTGCAATTTTTTACCTTAAATTTGGCCCTCATAGGTGCTAATTTTTCTTGCAGTTGTGGTGTACACAAATCGAATGCATCAAATTCCAATGGAAACTTTACGTCCTTAAGAATTTTTGCATTGATCGATTCTTTTTCTTTGTAATAAAATCTAACAAATTGGACCGTTAAGTAAGCTGGCAATCTGCTTATTTTAGACTAAAAAAAGGAGAAAAAAAAAAACAGTTAAAGACAATTAAATTACGATTAAACTATAATATTACCGTTTTTGTATATACAGCATCCCTGTCTAGAGTTGATGATTTTTTTGTAATTTGTTCTTGTAATTTCTGAAAAAGAGTTGAAAATATTCTTTATCCATACACAACAACGTTTACAATAGTTACATTTTTCAAACCAGAATGCATATATCGAACATCTTGAGAAATAAAACAGCTAAGTTGCAAAAATTGCTCTTTACTCTTAGACACCGGTTCATCTTCGGCTTCTACACATTTTAATTCGACATCAAACGTACCGCCGAAATATTGGTCTATAAATGATCTAAAAAATACGCGAATTGTAGGTTTAAATGTGACAAAATTAATTTAATAAAACACTCACTTAAACTGTTCTTTGGTAGTTCCACCGTTTTGCTTGGCCGGCAATTTCTGTTGCAACATTCTTACTAATTCGGTCCAACATTCGTTGGCATCCTAAAAAAATATTATTAAGTTTAAACAGATATTGCAAAACTATGTAAAATTAATTAACCTGCTGAGAGAAAGTACCGTGTTCGTTTTTTTCAGCGAATCTAGGAAAAGCCATGTGCATCACTTGGAGTAATACTATGGGAGGAACTGCGTTGCCTTTATCCATGTTACTGTATAGATCTCGAAGTGCTGCAGTGATGGATTGTGCTGGAACTACGCTACCTCCTGCTGCCACACCTTCAACAAAAATACAGTACTCATTATTGAAGAATTAAAACATAGGACTTGATATTTAAGTGAAAAGAGTCCATATCTTAAATGTGACTAAGATGTAATTATTATCAATGTTTTTAATAGTGGATTTTATTTATGCTTCTCGTTAATTTAGAAATTTCTTGGTTTCACTTCAAGTTAAAAAACGTGTTTGTAATATCCAGCGATAAAGTGTAAAAAATAACTCGTCACTATCCAACTGAAGCTGGTGCATGGGATTTTGTCACAAATTGACATGACATATTTTAACTTTGTCAAACATTCCTATAATATAAATTTGTAATATAATTGTATCCATTATAAAATCTGTTGAGAGGAGATATCGGTCTCAATCAAAGACATTACAACTAAGAGACCAAATTGTTTACATTTTTATGTGGCAAATCATTATTCCCACCAGATTCTCGTTTATTGCGTCTTTGCCGGTTTTATCAGTCTGTAAAAATTATTTGGAGAAATTACTTTTGAAAAGATATATCCTATAACTATAATTTTATATTATATAAATAAAAATATGTTTTTAATCAAATTATTATTTAAAGTTTTAATATAAGCTAATTTTTTTTATTAAAAATCAATATTAATCTAAACAAAATATTAGGGTTACAAAGAACTTCGTAAATACGGCATCGCTGAATATCTTACTTTACGAATTTACAATTAGTACCTATTTTTAAGAATGAAATGTAGTTACCGTAACCAGCTACAACGTTGCCAATCGGGTCTAACAGCTATTTTGTGTTTCTGACAGTTTCTGTGCGACTTATTGATTTATTTATTTATAAAATACTATTTTTGTGAACTTTTGTGAGAAATATAAAGAATTATGGTACATGCATGTGTAGTGTTCAATAAGGTAGATCATTTAAATTTATCCTTTCATCGGTAAGTATTTTTAGGTTAAGATATGTTGTTTTCATCTGAACCAGTGGAGTAGGGCACCCGTCTTAAGACTGTTTTGACTATACAATTTCTTGTACAAGATTTGATACAATTTCTTATAGAATTTAAATTGTATAGGATCACATAGTAAATTGTTTGAAAAATGATTATCCAATCTAATTTTTCAATTTACTGCAGGTTTGATAATATACAATTTAAATTGTACAAGAAATTGTATCAAAAACTTGTGTAGTTTAAAACAGTCTTAAAACAGTTTTTAAAGTGATATTCCTTTTATAAATTAGTAAATTATTCTTATACCAATAAATAATTATTGAATAGTGGCAAAGAAACTTTAATGTAAAATGTAGACTACCTTAAAAATGATTTACCTATTAGGCACCTATACATATTTTTTAATATTCTATTTAGGTTTCCGCAAGATCCTGAGAAAAGAAAATTTTGGTTTTCTTTAGTAGGGATCAGCCCTTTTGTAAAAACCCAGGGTTGTGTTCAGAACACTTTTTTCCTGAAGATGTTTTGGTACGTGCAAATGGTGCTAAATATATCAGAAAAGATGCAAACCCCAGACGGTGTGAGGGTTTTCTATTTTTGGATGACTTATCCATCAGGTAAAAACACAAAATATTAATTTTTTGTTTACCTCTAAACATTATTTATTACCTACATGTATGTATATCTAATATATGGGTTTTTAGTTCTGATTCAACTGTTTTTGAAACACCACCTGCTGCAAAAAAAACATTGCAGTAAGTAATAACACTAATAACTAAGCATAAAAAAATTAAATTAAATTTTAATTAATAAAATTAAAGTACTTAATATATTTACAACGCTATTTTAATTTTTTTTTTACGATATTTTTTACCATATTATTAATAATTAAAAAATTATATATTTTTAGAACAGTGTTTTATTTAGATACCTCTACTCACTTAATGTCAATATAAAATTTTAAATAATTTTGGTTAACATCATACCAGGCAAATATATAGTTAATGCCAATAAACTATAAACCAATAAATATTAACAATCGGAAGGTAACTTGAATTCTCTTGTATTTGAATTTATTTGTACTTGAATTTACCTACATGAAAAAATCATCATAATTATATTACTAAAAAAATATACCTACTTATTTACGTATTTTTTTAACATACTACTCTGACAATATTGGTAAGTTTAAAACTCTACGCCACTGGCGAGCATATTGTGGACATTGTTTACAACGTTGCCAGCCGGTCCTAAGAGGTCTGTCTTTCTCTCTTCCACTCACTAACAATTTTAAAACAATAACAATCCGCAATTGTATGGGATTTATGAATGAAACATTTTGTCTCTATGTTGTAATGTCTTTGGTCTCAATAGTATTTTTTTTTAGGTTCTTGTAAAATTTTCTAAAACCTACATAGCAGATTTTGATTTGACAATGACGAAAGCATCAAACGTGATAATGAATTGCACTAAATCACAATTATACATTATGAAAGAGCTAAAAATTTAATTGATATAACAATAAATATATAAAAACTGGTCATTAATTTATCTTAAAATAGTGGTTACCTCAACATAATTCCAAAATTAATGAAATTTAAAATTATTACTAGAGAATAATGTGGGATAAATGTGAGTTTTTGACCTGATCCTGTTGGAATAATTGGACCATTTTCGATTTTTCACTTTTTTTTCTTCTAAATCATGCGTTTTTCGAAAAAGCGGCCAAATACAAAAAAGAAAGCATAAAATTTTCTTCAATTTTCATTGGTAAAAATTATTTTTTAATCCCATACTTACCGAGACGCAGGAACAAATTTTTCAAAATGAAATAACAGGAGAAAAACTCAGATTTTTGCTTTATAATTTTCACTTTTGAATGTATTTATGTATTCTAAATACAATACCCTTGACCCCCGACACACCGACTCACCCCCCAATAAACCACTTGTTAATCTTCCACATTTAAAATTTCGGAAGTTGGAATTACATTTAATAGTGCATTTACGTCGATATTTTCAACCTTAAACCTTTTAACATTTAACCTTAAACATTTAACAATACAGACTTTTGACTGCACCCGAAGATGGAAAAAATTAATTTCCGAAACATATCTAGTGCTAAACGTTTAAAAATAAAAAGAATGACCGATTAAACCTAGGAAATTTTTATTTATATAAAATTTATCAGTTGGGTTTTATGACAGGTAAAAAGAAAAGACGATAAGGATTTGGCAAAAAATCTCTGATACCTACCAACTATTGCCGCGTTTGAGAATCCACATCGGATGCATTTTTTACATCTCGAGCGTTTTCTTATCCACATCGGACACATCTACTACATCTACATCTGCGTTTGTTTATACCAGATGTACCTGTTCCACATACTTTGATTACTATACGAGGCAAGAGAGAGGTCCGACACGCCCATCATAGGGCGCGGCCATTTTGAACCCTGTGACACAGTTTACAGCTAAAGAATCAGATCGCTCACTCTGCGTCGGCACTTTTGATCACAATGTTTCAGTTTATACACTGTGCAACTCGGATAATACAATATATGACAACCGCCTATAATAAAACAGCAGTCTTCTGCGTATCCTGAATTTGTATCCCTGGAGTGGATGTTATTTTGGAACTTTCAACTGGTCCGAGTGAGCTAACTGATTCTTTAGCAATAAACTGTGACTTCAAAAATAATATTCACTGACACTGACAGCAGCAAGCAAAATATCAGGTGCGTTTTAATCATCCGCTTCTGCTTCCGGAATTGTCGGTTTAGTCGTTTTAACCTGTCAGATTAAAACAAGAAAACCGACAATTCCGAAGCAGAAGCGGATGATTAAAACACACCTATTAAAAATATTGCGCCAAGATGTAGGCAACACGTAATAAGGGTTCAAAATGGCGGAGTTTTCTATCTCCTTTTAAAAGGCACTCAGAAAGCTGCGCAGTGTGACCATTCTCCGTATAGTAAAAGAAAATCAAAGTATGTGACCTGTTCAGATTACATTTTTTATATCTCGATTTGAAATGAGATGTGAATGAGATGTTCGTTCCATGCCAGAAAGTAAGTGTTCTATGAAGCCTTGTTTGTCAATTTATCCTTTGTTTATGCTAGCATGAATAGAGAGTTATTGCAAGTTCACTTAGGGTAAGTTCGGTTTAGAACTCGACGGATCGCACAGAGCGCGCACGGAGTGCGTGACGTCATAGACAGAGTTCACTCTTTTTAGAATCTCAAGACGAACACAAGGGGAATGACATATGGCACTAGTGATAGTTTGCACTTGAATACACTTTTGTGTGTGTCTATGGACTGTAAAAAAATAATTTTAATCAAATAGTTATAACAGAAACAAACAAGAAATATTACGTGTAAAACTGATTAATCACCGATCAGAAAATCGACATTTGACATTTTTGACACATTCCTACAGATACCCGCTGATCTCCATCGGCCAACTCGGGGAAGAGTGAGCGCGCTCTGAGTACGTGATCTGTGGCAAGCCGAACACAAAAGAGTACGCTCTGAGCAGAGCTGGGCACGAGTACTGAATAAAATACTCGTAAATTGTACGAGTACGAGTACTCGAAAATTGTATTTATAAGTATTTTATTCGTAAGTACTTTTATAGAGATAGTTTACGGATACGAGTAGTAATCGTGAAAATACGAGTAAAGAGTACGAGTAGTTTCACAAAATTTATTTACCTAAACAAAAACAAAAAACAATCCTAAAATAAATAAAAACTTTGTTTGGAATATAAATAAAACAAACATGGTCAACTTGACAATGAACAATTAAATACAGTTTTTTAAAACTGGTAATTTTTAACTCATCTTTTTGTTTCCCTACTTTATCGTTATCGTGTTAAACCAAATCAATATTATTTTGAATACACCTTCTCACGCTGAAAAAGAAAGATGGGGTTTCTGTTATTTTAAAAATATTTAAACTGTAATCGTCCCCATGTGCTTTTTTTAAATTAAATTTTGACTGCACCCGAAGATGGAAACAAAGTTTTATTTATATAAAATTCTGCTACCGTTAGGAAATTATCCTTA